TATTTATTTATTTCGATCAGGCTATTCTATTTCATGTTCTCACTTTACTTTGCAGATGTGCATGAGCCACCTCGGGGTGTCGAAGAGCCAGGATGCTGACAACCACTACCGGGCCGTGTGTAGAGCGCTCGTGCTCGAGACCCTGGAGCTTAGCAGCTTCCTGGAGAAGGTGTCGAAGGGGACCAAAGGGCTGAGGACGACGGACAACCCATCGACTGAACTGGACCAGCTCAAGTTTACCGACTGGGTGAGTGATCAGTCTTACCTATAGAATTTTTCGGAAAAGTGAAAACATTTCTCATTTCGGAATTATGACATAAGTTATCTTTTACTTTTTAGAAATTCTGAAAGAATTTCCTTCCAAGTATTTATCTGTAAAGTTCAAATCCGTAGAGTCTTCCCCTCTCGAGGCCTTGATAACGCACCGCCTCGCTACAAGTAGAAAGTACAGTCATGCGTAGCCTGATTTTTCCGACCGCGTAATGGCAGGATGTTTGTGGTCCCCCCGGCGGGCGCCATTGGGCTGGGGGGCCGGACCCTAAGGCTTCGCGACGCGCCATGGTGGTGGAGGTGGTTTTGCCTGGCCTGGTCCACATATATTGATCGGGACCGACATGCAGTCATTGCGTAGCCTAATATTTAGGGAAAGGCTGACCTCGAATCTATATCGCTTTGCGAACACAGCGGCGTTGCTAGCGCTGACGAAGTGTACACGTGTATACGTCATATGCCATATCTGCACCTTATTTTTGGTACAATCTTTCCAGGTTGTAATGCATTTGGTGTTTTTCTGTTTTAGAACAACTTTAGGATATTCCAAGTTCTACAAGTACGTATGGTAGTGAGGTTGACGTCTCTTTTTGTTGCGTTTGTTTTTACATTTTTGCAGAAATTATGCATGAGAGTAGCCAAGGCTAATTCTTTTACTTTTGGTTATTTTGACTTGTGCACCGCCATTTATTTTTGGTCTTCACTTTAAATGAAAAATTTGATTTGTGTTGACTTAGCGTAGAGTTTTTGATAATAGTCCCTTTATAAAAAGTACTAGCTAGCAACCATCAAACATGGTCGAGGGCCGCGTCATTCGCTTCGTTGGATGTCCTTTCAAAAACATCGTTTTTTACCGCAGTAACTTCCCCTCTTTTGTTGCATAATGCATTCTTTGGCGAACGATGCGATCACGCTTGCATATTACATGGGGACAGTCTCCCTTTTGTTCAAGTTTTATTTTCAATACTCGGCGCGCTCCTTTTTTTTTTTTCGTTCCTCATTGGTCGGAGAGGGGGCTGGTCGCCGTCGTCGTGAGTCTCGAGTTGCGTCTGATTATCGAATTCTGAAATGGAAGTGCATTAGGTCGAACGAAACTCCTCGTTCTGAACGTCAGCCGCGGTGATTTAGGAAGACCGGCGTCGCTTCGGCCGAGCGAAACGAAAATACTCCCCGCCTGGATATTTTTGGACGACGAGCTGATAAAACCCAAGCCGGGCAGCAGCAGCGAGCGCAAGAATAAGACAAATAAAAATCCGTCGAGAAAATAAAGCGATGTTAATGAGGGGCATAATAAAAGGAATGCGGCCGGTTCTTCGCGAATTTTCGTGATGTTCAGAAGAAGTCCGCACGGCACAAGCACGTACCGCCGCACCGGTCACTGGGCGTATGCAAATAGACTTGGTAATAAAATGCGCCATTCGTCGTCCAGCACCTTGGGAAGAGGAGCGGGCGCCGTGTTGCGTAACAGCGTCGCACGTTTCGTAAGCCAAGCGCAAGTGTCAAACGCAGGGATTCAAGTAATGGGGGCTTGCTACCGTTTTACCAAATTACCTATACTTGTAATAGCACTGTCCTGAAACGCATTATTTCGGCATTATTGGCATCGTCAATCCAAGGGAGTGGCTATGGCTTTTTTTCCCCCTAGGAGCACTCATAATTCCGCATAATTCCTTTCGAATGCCTTAATTGTTTAAGGATTTGGCTGCTTTGCAAGCCTGCTGCGAAGGAATTTCTTTGCCATCGCAAAGATTTTTTTCGTATTTCAAAGGGAATCTTTCGCAATTGTTTTGCAATAATTACAGAGCAGCTACAATCGTTCGCTGGGATTCTACAGTGAAGTTAACACGCAGAGAAATAACGTTTGTTGTAATCTTTGTTTTCAAAATATTTTTACTGCGACTTTTTACTGCGACCCGTGTACTAATCATGATTCTAGAAATTAATTTCCGCTCAATATGCAAAGAAGGAATGCATTTTCACTTGAATTTAAAGCAATTTTTCTAGGGCATGCTGCACTAATTGTTTTTTGAAGAAGGCCAGAACTGTTCCGTTCTGGCAGTTCTGGCAGTGCAGTTGAATCGAGGAAGAAGAATGTGTCGTGGCTTCGAGCCTTCTCACTTTCCTCCATACATTATCGCTAAACTGCCGGGATATTACCTCCACTAATGATCGGGACGAGTTACCGCCACTTTGTCGTAGATCAGATTTCAGGCCGCGATATCCCGCTCACGGCCCGCTCATGCGGAGAGGCCGGACAAATTCGTTTTGCGTAAAGATGCCGCCTCTTTGGCGGGATTTATACATGCAACTCGGGAAAAAAAAGAAAAAGGGAGGAGTCGCTGGAATTCGAGCCTTATCGCATTAGCTGCGGGTTTGATTCTGTTTCTCCGCAGAGAATCTATCCGCTCTCATACCGGAAAACTTTCATAGACACGATCGGAGTGTGGCACAAGCTGCTGAATTGTTAGGATAATGACAACGTTGTAAAACACTTACAATTATATGCCATTATAATATGTGCTGTCTCATCCGTGTCTTATAGTTTCATTTCTAGTTATCAAATTGTTTTCTTTTTAAAGATGTTCGCCAGGAATGACGACCGTCATTTTAAAATACGTTTTAATTAAACAACTGCCTTTTAACTATGTCGTTATCGCGTTTTTAGAATGGTGCTCGTATCTACTCACCCGCCTACAAACAAACCGCAGAAACAGCTTACAGAATAAATTATCGAAATTTGGAATTCATTTTATCATTTCTGTGGCATGCACCGTGAAAACTAGTTATATTTACGGGAAAATTTTTCCATGATGTGTGTCGTAAAATTACAATTTGGAACTGTAAACTCACAAGCACTTGAAATTATTTGACAAGCAAAAATGGGCCGTTGCCAGCTTTTTACATATTTTAGAAATAAATCGAAAATTTCAACAAATATTTTTTTCTTTTACAGTGTGATCAATGCTTGGCGACACCTTAGTTCACCTTTTTTCGTTTGCTGTGTTAGTGCACCCGGCCGTGGAGACTTCACTCCCTATTTTGTTTTCGCCGTGTGGGATCATCGCTGAGCTACTAGAGTTTAACTTTTACGTAATGGGACACAGCCCATGCGCTCTCTGAGTGCATTCGGGTCCCCTTGACACTCCTGTTGCGCAACGCGCTCTCCGTTCTGAATATTCAAAGCTGTCTATACGCTCGATAATGTCAAATTAATCGAAGTGCACAAATAGGGGAATTCCTCGGCGTGTTCGAAATGAAATATACATCGAGACGATTGGAAACGTCTTGAAGCTTTACTGACTCACGGCTCAGCTTGGTGCGCTGCGCTCACCTCGAAACGCCTGCGAGGACCACGGTAGGCCACCCCGCAACGCCTGTGTGTGCGGCGGGGTGGCCTACCCCGCTGTTGCCAGGCGCTCACGGGCTCACAGCCACCCGTCTCCACTCATTCTCCCCCCTCCTTCTCGCTCTCTCTCTCTCTCTCTCTCTCTCTCTCTCTCTCT